CATCGCTATAGCAGGGATGGGAGGGATCGGAAAAGCAGCTCTTGCTTAATTGATCTTTAATGACTAAGAAATCATTTTTTATCCACCTTACCCAATAAAGCATAAGTCTAGGATAAGTTCTTCTCATGTAGTATTTGAGTTTGAGATATATATATATATATTCCTACAAAGTCTAGAGAATTATAAGGTTTGAATTCTCAAACGAGTGAAAATTTTAATATTTTGAGATAGCCAAGGTAATTTAGAATTGTTAGGAGTATTGAAGTGACCAAAGAAACAAAATTAGAGAGAAGGTTATTAGGGAGTTTCCATGGAACTTGAGTGAGTACACTTGCATAAATTCAATTCCAAAAGAAATTGCAGAGTAAAGAAAGCTTTTAAAAGTAGAAGCTATATGTTGTTATGTTGATTTACTTGGCCTCCTTTAAGTCAAAACTAATTAAAAGAGCTGAGTAAATTTTGCTTAGATGAAAGTACTGCGAATCTTATTCTAGTTAGGTTTTGTTTCACAATGATAAAAGATTATTGTGAAGTTGGCTCTTATAAAGGATGGTTAGGTCACTAGATTTTTTCTTGGTAATCATGTTATTTTGATTTTAATGAATGTCTTTTGCAATAAAAAAATAATATAATTTACCATCACATTCAATCTAAATCATTATGTTGTTAATAAATAATATTAAGATGTTAAAATAAAAGAATAATAAAAATTTTAAAAAATGTATCTATCTATAATATAAATGCTGTAATTGGATGAGTCACTATTAAGCTACGCATAAGATGCTGCTTTTTTTTTTTTTTCAAAATCTATGTATTTTTTTTTATTTTTATATATATTTTATTTTAAAATCTGTTATTTTAACGGGATCAGTGCTTTTTTAGGTGGGACTCATTTTTTTTGTTTTTTATGTTTTTATTATAAAATCATTTTTATCATTTTATTGGCCATTCTTTTTGGATGAGTCTTTTAGTGGCATTACTTTTATTTTATTTTTTATGATTTTTTTACTTTAATTTTTTTTAATTTTTATATATTTTATTATAAAATTAATTTTACTTTTTTAGTAGGATATTTCACTCCGATCTAATGATGATATTTGATGCATGTCATGATTCTTGTATGGCAGGAGGTGAAGGCTACCCTTGTTGCAATGGGATTTTATTTCAGTCAAGCATGGGGGATTACACCAAAAGGATCTATAGCGATGGGACTACAGATGCAACTGAGGAAGCAATTGAGTTAAGTTCGCATGACAAGCTAAACAAGCAATTGAGTTTGTGCCTTGACAATGAGACTGAGTGCATAGCTTTCGGCACTTGACACTGCAGATAAAACATTGTACGCAGAAGATGATCTCCATGATTTCCTTACTTGCAGTGGCTTGGCATGGTTAAGAGAGACAAATGAATATGCATGAATGATCAGGGTCTAGGCCAACTGAAATTTTGTTTTTGTTGGATCACAAAACTTCTAACCATCAACTCAAGTAAATTCCAGCTCCATTACAAGTAATCATGCATAAAGATTAACTGATGTTAGATGCTTTTATCTTAATGTCATATATATATATATATTCCCAGACTTGAAATGTCTCACTCTCTCACAATATCAAGTTGCAAGTGAGTGTTAGACGTAAATTAATTTGCCCCCATGCTCGGCTCTCATTGACCTCAGAATCTTCCACCCTCTTTTACCTCTTTACAATCCAACTGAACTGGATGGTTCAATCATACCCGCATTTTTTTTTATAAAAAAATTTAAGAATAAATAAATTATTTAATTTTTAGTCAAAATAAAATATATTATATTAAATAATTTAAATAAAATTTTTTATAAATTATGCATTTAAAATAATTTAAATAAAAAATTATCACTAAATTCGAATTCAAAAACACTTATAGAGATTCTAACAGTCAATCTTCAAATTTCAATGGGTGAAAGTCGAAAAGGATAGAGAAAGATTGTTTGCTCCAATAAATTAATGGCATGGACCCGCTTTTGTCCTCCACTAGAATCTCTGTTAGGTGCCAACAGTTCTCCCTTTGTCTTTATAGATTCAATGACTTTTCAGTCATACCCTCATAGCCCCATTTTTTTTTGTATCCGTTCAGGTGTCAAA